TCCCAGGAAATAACTCACGTGAGGGTGCCAATGGTTTCTGGGAAGAAATGGTAATTAAAAGACACAACAGAGAGATCTTCATGGAAGGAACAAGCAGGAAAGGAGAGAAAGAATTCCATTTATTATTAGCTGTCCACAAGAAATACACATAGTATGATGGGGTCAGCTGGAGAATTCTTCTATTCATGATTTGGAATGTCACAGAACTTCTGAGACATATTGTATAGAAACTTAAGAGCATTTGAGCAAGTACTTATCATTAATGAGCACCTACCATGTGGTAAATATTGAGTAGTGAGCCCTGGGTGCTCATAAGTATTTGTTTCTGTGGATGAACAAATGGACAATGGATACATATGAAGAAAGGAGGCAGGATAGATAGGTGGATATGTGGATAGACAAATAGGGAGGAAGATGAATGAGTGGACAGAGATAGACAAGTGGGTAGATGCGTGGGTGGGTAGAAGATGGATGGGAGAATGGATGTGGATAGATAGTTAGATGGGTAGGTAGATGATAGACAGCCATGTCAAACCCACCCATCCAGTCAGCTGACACCCAAGACCATCTTTGGACCCTAGATTGCTAGGATTTTTTTTGATTCTTGGTTGGTGTTTGTTTGCTTGTTTGTTTGAGACAGGATCTCACACTATAGACAAACTTGCAACTCACTATGCAGTCCAGGCTTTCATCAAACTTGTAGCAATTCTCCTGTCTCAGCCTCCCTGGGGCTGGGACTACAGGTATTGCTAGCTCTTTATTGAGGAACACACTCCGCTACAACCTCCACCTCCAGGAAGAGCTGTTCAGTCAGTTTCTTTGTACCAAATACCCGAGATGTCCAGCTTATGAAGAGCACAGATTGGTTTTGACACATAATTTTAGAGATCTCAGTCCATGACAGAGGGCCACATTGCTTGGAGTCTATGATAAGACAGACCATCATGGCCAAAACACATGTTGGAGCAAGCTAGTCACCTCATGGTTGGGAAATGAAAGATAAAGAGAGAGTTTCCTTTAAAGTCATACCACCTAGTCTAACAACCTCCTGCTAGGTGCCAACTCAAAGGTTTTGTGGTCTCTCATCAGTGCCACTCTGGGACCAAGGCTCTAACACATGTCCCATTGGAGGACATTTCAGATCTGAACTCCAGCAGCAGCTAGCCATTCCTAACCTCACCACTCAGTGCCTGCCAGTCTTCTGAGATCTTAAATGTCTCAATTCACTTAATTCTCTGACAACTCTTACAAAACATGGTAAGGAAAATGCAACCCAGAAAAAGTCAATAACTTGATTGGGTCATCCAGCCAATAAGCAGCTACACAGGGTCCAAGGCACAGCAGCCACTTTAGAGCCAGACACAAACAGGAAAAGTGTGTCAAATGGAGGAAGGTGCTAAAATAAATGGACAGGTTAGGCAACAGTGATAGATGACCCTCAGATCTGGGTGTATGGTAAAGATAAAGAACCACAGCTATCTTGGAATAGGTTTTTCTGTCTACCAAGATCCATATCTCACTGGGAGTGGTCACACTTCCCGAGGGCTGCAGCATAGCCAGTATGTCCCTTGGGATCTACCCTCAGCTGTGGCAGTGGGAAGACATTGGACTAATCAGGATACCTGGACTGAGCCTGGTCCTGGTCCAGGCTAGAGCCGCCACTTCTGGGCTTCTTTGCTCCCCCAGTAAAATGATGAGGAATGGGAAGCCTGTCAGCAGGGAGCCCTCTACTCGGGACTGAAAGGGAGGTGGGGCCAGGATAGGTTGGGCAAAGAGGCCAGTGGAGAGGAGCCAGATGGGACAAAGGCAGAGAAGCAAATATCTGCCCGGATGCCTCTTTGCTAGCAAGAGTTTGTGAGGCCATGTGGGCCTCTCTAAAAGCTATCCCAGGAGATCTTCCCAGGAAGGGGGCTTGCCACCGTGGAGATTGGAAAGGTCTCTCAGGTCAGAATCTTTCCATAGTCAGAGAGGTAGGGGTAAGGAGCAAACCAGGTTAAGTTGGAAGGGCCCTCCAGCCTAGCTTCTACGATCCTAAACTTTGGGAGATCCCTGAAGACATAAAAACTCTCCATTTTTGCTGCATATGAACCGGAGGTGAAGATGCCAGTTCTAGGCTGGGTGTTTGTAGCAAAAGCTCCAATGCCTGAGCCTCTTTCCAACTCACAGCTGCTCCTCCAAGACAGGTACCCCAAGTTCTCACTGGCCCCCACATCTATTCTCACCCTCAGGGCTCCCACTGCCTAGCTGCAATAACTAAGCAATCTGCTCCAAACCCAGATTCAGCTGAGCACTGCCCACAGCCATGGAAGGGCCCATGGTAGTGAAGTCTCCTCCCCACATCCCCTCTCCAGCACCACACCGTTCATTGTTTGCATTGCCCTTCAGGAAGCACCTGTATCTCCTGAAGGCCACATTGTATAGCCCACTAGCTTCTAGTAGCTTCAGTTCTTTCAGCCCAGATGCTCATTTGCAGCGCACAACCCTTCTCTCTGCCCACTTGGTCGCCATCAGACACTAGCTTCCTCCAGGAAGCTCCAAAATCTGAGTTAAATGTCCCTTAGAAGTACCCAGCCCCCACCCCCAGCTTAACACAGCAGCACTGACTGCCCACATTAGCTCCTTGAGGACCAGAGCTTATGACATGCCCACAAGTGATCCACAAATCTCTGCAGATAAATGATCATTCAACTGCTTTTTTGTCTTTTTGTTTGTTGTTTTGAAACAGGGACTCATTAACACCCTGTATAGTTGAAGATAACCTTGAACTCCTGATCCTCTTGCCCCCACCTCTCAAGTTCTGGAATTACATGGTTTGTGTGGTGCTAAGGATTGAACCCAGGGCTTCGTGTATGCTAGGCCAATGCTCTATCAACTGAGCCTCACTCCTGGCTGTCAAACTTCTTTAGTATCATTAAATAATAGGATGTGTGGATGTGTGGATGTCTTAGGATTTGGGTTGCTATAATAAAACACCATGGTCAAAGCAACTTCCGGAAGATAAGATTTATTTCAGCTTACGGTTATCAGTCACACTTCATCACTTAGGGAAGTCAGGACAGGAACTAAAGCATAGGAACCCAGAGGCAGGAACTGAAGCAGATGCCACGGAGGAACACTAGTAGTTTGAATATAATTGGTCCCCATAAGCTCATCGGGAGTGGCATTATTAAGAGGTGTGGCTTTGTTGGAGTAGCATGACCTTGTTGGAGGAAGCGTGTCACTGTGGAGGTGGGCTTTAAGGCCTCCTATGCACAAACCATGCCCAGTGTCTCAGTTCATGTCTTGTTGCCTCTGGGATCAAGATGTAGCTCCTTTCCCACTCCCAATTCCTTCTCCAGCACTGTGTCTGCCTGCATGCTGCCATTTCCCATCATGATGAGAATGGACTAAACCTCTGAAACTGTAAGCCACCCAATTAAATGCTTTCCTTTATAAGAGTCCCTGTGGTCATGGTGTCTCTTCACAGCAATTGAAACCCTAAGACAAACACTTTACCAGTTTGCTTCCCTGTAGATGAAAGTTTTTGTCCCACCCAGTCCTGCATCTGTTCAGTACCAAATAAACACACAGAGGCTTATATTAATTAAATACTGTTTGGCCTATTGCTCAGGCTTATTACTAACAAACTCTTACAACTTAACCCATAATTCTTGTCTATGTTTAGCCATGTGGCTTAGTACCTTTTCTCAGTATGGCATTCTCATCTTGTTTCCTCTGTATCTGGCTGGCAACTGCTTCTCTGCCTTTCTTCTTCCCAGAATTCTCCTAGTCTGGTAGCCCTGCCTATACTTCCTGCCTGGCTACTGACCAATAAGTGTTTCATTGAACCAATACGAGTGACAAATCTTTAGCGTGTACAAGAGCATTATACCACATCACTTCCCATGGCTCGCTCAGCTGCTTTCTTCTACACCCCAATACCACCTGCCCAGGGATGGCACCACTCACAATGGGCTGGGCCCTCCCACAGCCATCACTAACTAAGAAATGCACCACAGGCCAATCTGGTAGGGACATTTTTTTCAATAGCGGGTTCTCTCTTCCCAGATGACTCTAGGTTATATCAAGCTAACAAAAAACTGGTGGTGTCATCTTCCCATCCCTGTAACAAACACCTAAAATAAGCACTGTATAGAAAGGTTTACTAAACTCACAGCTGTGGAGGTACAGTCCACAGTCAATTGGTTGCTTTCTGTCCAGTGGTAAGGCAGGTATATCATGGCAGGAGGAGTACATGGTGGAGCCAAACAGCTTCTGATGGCCATGGAATAACAAGAATGGAGGAGACCAGGGCTCCCAGTGTCCCCTCCAGGGCACATTTCAAATGCCCTAACTTCTTCCCTCTAGATCCCACCTCTTAAAGGTTCTACATCTGCCAGGGGTACCATCTTGGGGACCAAGCCTTTGGGGAACATGGCAGATCCAAACCGCAGCAGGCACTATGACTCTGCCATTGCCATATTAAACAAGCTACTCAAATTCTGGGCATCCTTTTACCCAAGCATAGAATGAGGAGACTGGACAGGCTTCAGAGTACCTTGTCGTTATAGTATGTAGCAAGTCAGCAGGACTGGGGACCGACATTATCATCCATCCATATTGGACAATCATTAAAGATACAGTCCCAGACCCCACCAAGACCCACTGAAGTTTAACAGACACTCCAGTTTCTTGTTATTTTTTTTTATCTTTAGTTTAGTTTTATTTTACTTATGTGAATGATTTGCCTTTGTGTATGAATACATGCTTTATGTGCATGCCTGGGGCACATGGAATTCAGAAGAGGATGTCAGATCCCCTGGAACTGGAGTTATGGGTGACGGTAAGGCATCATATGGATGCTGGCAACCAAACCCAAATCTTCTGCAAGAGCAACAGATTCTCTTAACTGCTAAACCATTATCTCTGACTTCACTCCCAGTGATTCTGATACAGGTATGCAAACACCAGAAAAGCCCATATACGCTGTGAGTTAAGCTGTCCCCTTCTGACTCCTGCAGGTAGATTTTGAAGATGTGATTGCAGAGCCCGAGGGCACCTACAGCTTCGATGGTGTGTGGAAGGTGAGCTACACCACTTTCACCGTCTCCAAGTACTGGTGCTACCGCCTGCTGTCTACACTGCTGGGTGTGCCGCTGGCCCTGATCTGGGGCTTCCTGTTCGCCTGTATCTCCTTCTGCCACATCTGGGCTGTGGTGCCCTGCATTAAGAGCTACCTGATCGAGATCCAGTGTATCAGTCACATCTACTCACTGTGTATCCGCACCTTCTGCAATCCGCTCTTTGCTGCGCTGGGCCAGGTCTGCAGCAACATCAAGGTGGTGCTGCGGAGGGAAGGCTAAAGCCAGGCCGGCCCGTGGGGAAGGCTGGGCAGGGGGGAATTAGAGCAGGTGAGCACCACGGCTCTGCTCCACGTGAGCTGCCCAAGAGCTCATGCTGTTGAGGGTCCTTTCGATTTCGCCTCAAGATAGGAACACACAGGACAGGGGAGCTAGTCCCCCGTGTGGAAACACAGGCACTCTTGCTCTGCTCAGCCCACCACGATCCCCAGTGAGCCTGCCTGAGGGCAGATGGTTTGTTAAGAGGCAGCTACCGCAAGGCTTTGCATTCACGTGTACTGTAATACCACAAACCCGCCCAGTCCCCTAGAGGGGTGACCTGGCTCCTCATGAAAGAGAGAGCAAGCAGTGACTGCGGGCGTGAGGAAGGTGCTACAATAAAGGGGTTCGGCTGCACCGGGGAACATCATGCTTTCTTTGTCTGTGAGTTGGTTGTGTGTCCTTTTCTGGTTATGACACCTAGAAAATTCAGTAGGGCCTCTGGGCAAATTGAAAGCCAGCACCAAGTTTTGTTTTCTTGAGGGTTCCGCTTGTTTGCTGGTCATGAGGGTCTCCCATATGTAGAGATTGTTTTCACGTGACTGCTGCTGCCCCTGAAGCTGCTAATAAGTACTCAGGGCAGGGGCAGGTAAGCATCCCCAGATAGGCCCAGTCTCAGACCTCTTGGAAGCTCCCCTCTGAGCCCAGCAGTGGTGGCTCACGCCTTTAATCCCAGCACTGGGAAGGCAGAGGCAGGAGGATCTCTGTGAGTTCAAGACCAGCCTGGTCTACAAGAGCTAGTTCCAGGACAGCCTCCAAAGCCATAGAGAAACCCTGTCTCAAAAAAAAAAAAAAAAAAAAAAATCTCCCCTCTGGCTCAGAAGACACTGAACCCAGAACATACCTGGCCCTGTCTTGTGACATGTGTGTGCCATCAGCCCTAATAGACACCATGAGTATCTGAGGTCCAGGGTCCATGTATCTGGGCTAGGTATGAATAGAACACAGCACACAGCACACAGTTGGGTTTGACAAATCCCACAAGGGGTTTGGTCCAAGATCCTTGCAACTTTTCACAGACAAATGAGCACACCTAGGACTCCAGAGAATAATGCCCGGTCCCCCTTCTGACTCCTGCCACAGCCCATGCAGGCATCACCAGCAAACAGGATGACCCTGGAGCCTGCCAGAGAATTAATATGTGAGGTCACTGTTCTTGGAAGGGAGGAAAAGTCAAAGAAATATACAGAAAAAAATGTTTATTAAGTGCACCTTTTATGAAGCAGCTGGTAAAGCAGGATTGGCCACATCACTCACCAGATGCGGGGACATGGAGGCACCACACAGAGTCCATGGAAGAACAATACCAAGGAATTAGAATGTGTGCTAAGTGGCATCTCATTGCAACTGATTACAAAACAGTTACGTGCTGAAGCCAGTGTCATCGTCCAGGCAGGCTGCACAGACATCCCCTTGTGTGACTCTGATTTGTACCAAAAGGAGATCACAGATTTCTAAATGTAGATTTTGGGGGGCTGGGCAGGGCCTAAACCACTCTCACAGACTGCACACTGACTCCTCGTGGTCAGAACAATGAAACATTCCAGAACTTTCAGCATGCTCCAATTTAATATAAACTCCAGCCCTGAACATGGATTGTAAACAGGTTGGGAAATAGGAAGGGACATTGGGGGTGTCAACTGTGGAGTCTGAGGAAGGAGGAAACAGGACACGGGACTGAGGGAGTTGTTTTTAGACCCCTAGAGATTTTAGGCTTTGGGTGGGGAAATAACAAGAAGTGGTGAAAATATTCTCCTGTGAGATTGGATGGAGGTGTCAATCCAATGTTGCTGATGAAGTCAATTGTCATTTATGTCATAGACACAGGTGTCAGGACCATAACAAGACCCAAGGTACCAGCCAGAGCTCTCACCCAGAATGACGCAGCACCCCCAATAGGTTTCAATGTCCAAAAATCTTATACCTCCAGTGCTCTCAAGAACACAGTACCCCTGTGAGAATATCTGAGTTACCGTCCCCTTGGCCCCTGGTGACACCTGTTGACTCTAAGTGAACAGCAGGAACAAAGGACATCTTCAAGACACAGATGCTACCAGACCCCCACCCCACTGCCATGTGTGCACCCAGGCCACCTGGGTGGTCTAGAACATAGGCTCAGATGCTACAAGGCAGAATCCTGCTAGCTTGTCAAAGAACTAACTGGTGGTGACGCCGCATGCATGAGGTGGACCACTGTGCAATGCTCTTGAGTCCAAAGAAAAATGGCATTGCCTCCTGTCTCCAGCTGGTGACAATGAGCTTTCTGTACATTGGGGATGCTGAGCATGGGCACTGCAGCACACGGCTCCCTCCTCCCGGAATACCAGACTATGCTGGCCCATACTCATGTGTGCATGTGTGCAGATGGGTACATGTATGGATTGGGGCAAAAGAAAATGTGTTCAGAAATGGGGGGGGCGTGTAAAGTGGATCTGCAGATTTGAAGCTTTTGGGAAGTGACCTTGATATATCTTAGTAAGTCCAGAATCAACTCTGGGTAGTTCAAAGGTGCTCCAGAGTGCATAGTGACCAACCACAGACAGAAAGCCACTAGTCAATTGTGCCCCGTGTTAATGACTGAAGGTATTTCTGAGACAGAGTCATATCCTGCCCTCAAGGCTGAGAGAGACATTTGAAACCATACTTACTGGATAAACAAAACCTTTGAGACTCCTGGGGAATTGCTGTTCTAAAGAAGACAGGACACAGCAGCTGCAGAGCATCCCTCGGGCCTTTGTTAAAGCCAGATGGGGGTGATCACCACTTTCACCAGCCGGAATAGAGCCAGCCTCTCCTGCAGACACTTGGAGGTGGTGAGTCACAGGGGAAACAGTACTCGAGGAAGAGAAACCAAGAAATGCATCCATCATTTTGGTTTTCCCAGAACTCAGCTCTTAAGTTTCCTTTTTCTCACATTTTTAAGTATACATAGTTCAGTGGTTTTGTGTGTGTGTCTGTCTGTCTGTCTGTCTGTCTATCTGCTTACATGTGAGTTTGTATATGCTGTATATCCACATGTACATGTAGAGATCAAAGGTTGACTTCAGGTGTCTTCCTCCATCACTCTCTACCTTATTTTTTGTTTACTTATTTACTTTGAGGGAAAGTATTTCACTGACCCAAAGCCGATCAATCTCCTAGGCTGGCTGGCCAGCAAGTCTCTGGGATCCACCTGTCTTCATGCCCAGGGCTGAGGTTATAAACACATGCCACCAAGCCTGACTTCTGCATGGATGATGGGCATCTCATACTTGCTCAGCAGAGACTTCTCGAAGTGAGCTGTCTCCTCAGGCCCTGGTTCAGTGATTTTTAATATCATCTCAAAATTGTGCACCCACCACACATCCCTAAGCATTTTAACCACCCCAATTCCCATCTCCTTGGGAATTTTAGGATCAATTTATCAATTTCTGCAGAAGCCAGCTAGGATTTTGATGAGGGCTACATCAAATCTATCCAACAATATTACATCTCTGATCCATAAGCACACGGTGTCCCCGTTTACTTAGTCTCCTTTAATTTCCACCCATGGTGTTTGCAGCTTTCAGGGCACAAGTCATACTTTCCCTCTGCTAACCCTGGCCCTCCCTTCATCATTCTGGCGTGTTTGTGGATGCAGTCTCTTAAGTTCACCAGAAGTGTAGGGAGATAGGAATGATTTTTGTATATTGATCTGGTCTGTCACTCTGCAACCTTGCTATTCACCTGTCAGGCCAGAGTAGGGGTGTTCTATGTACATGTTTATTTAGTGCATGTGTGTGTGTGTGTGTGTGTGTGTGTGTGTGTGTGTGCATGTGCACATATGCATACATGTGTTCCTTAGGATCTCATATGCATGGGTCAGTGTCATGTACAAACAGTTCTCCCTAGTCCCGTCTGTCCTGGGTGGCTCTCATTTCCTTTTCCTCCCCAAATGTATATCAAGCATCAGCCTCTTCAACATTTCAGTCCGTGTTCTCATTGCCTTCCTGAGCCAGGTGGCCTCATGGTTCAGTCTCCAGTTCCCAGTGTTTTCCTGGGACAGGCTGGTCCCTGAGGATGCTAGGATCTGTCCACACAACTTGGGTCACAAGGAAACCAGCACCACTCTGCATCTGCAGCCTCATTTCCCATTCCTTGTCCCAGCCCACAGCTCACAAAACTGGTCACCAATCTGTGGCTTGCTGCCTTTCACAAGAGCCCAGGATAAACAAGTGAAATAATAATAATAATGGAATGAAAGCCAGGTTCACGAGAGCCCACCCACCCACCACCCAGGAGCACTCCAGCTGGGGTAATAGAAGCACAAGTGGGAGCCTAGGCGACCCTCTGATGGCTGAGTGACTGTCATCTCCCATAGAGACACTTCCCCAACCCCAAGTCAGAATATGCCCCATGCTCTAGCCACCCCAAGGAGTGGAGGGACACACACCCATAGGCACCTTATACAGCTCCATGCACGGCCACCAGGGGGCAGACTGGAGTCGACATAGCCCCTGCCTCAGAAGGGGTGAGCCAGGCAGGTGGCTCACGCTGAAGATGGCTGAGAGCAGCTCTTCTGGCTGGAGCTGCGGCGACTCAGGACAAAGGTGGATGAATTGCTCTTCTTGCTGATGCTTGTCTCTCCAGGCCGGCTGCTCTTCAGGTAACGGGCAGAGCAACAGAGGAAGCGCTGCACAAGTTCGTGGAAGAGGTGGCCCGTGAAGAGCATGTAGATCCAGGGGTTGCAGCAGCTGTTGAGGCTGGCCAAGAGCATGGCGATGATAAAGGCAGAAGCTGCAGGGTGGGTTAGGAGGAAAGGAGAACAAGAGGTCACTCTGGAACCATCTCAGACCTGCCTGATTCAGCCATGGTTGTCCCTGCACACAGACGTCTCAGGTGCCACAGGCTGGATCAAAAGACAAGGTTCCAACCAGGTATAGTATGTCTTTTCCCCACAGCCTTGCTCAGGGGCCATTCCCCCATTTAACTAGGGCTCAGCACAGCCCTAAAGTTACTTCACCCTTGCTCTTAACTCCAGCTTCCCCAGGCACTGAAGGCCTCCTTCCTTCAGCAGATTAGCAAACATCACAGCCACTTGCTCCTTCATCCTTCACCCAGCAAGTGCTTAAGTGCCTGCTACTCTGACACCAAAGAACACAGGGGTGGCCAGGAGATACCATGCCTCATTTGCATAGCCCAGCCAGTACCAGTCACTACATCTAATCACGGTATCTCCCCAGGGCTTCCGTTCTTTCATCTTTACATGGTACAATGAGAACTGCCAATCTGCCTGGAAGCTATCAAGGATCAAAAAGTGCCAGGTATACAGGAGTGCCCAGTAAGAGGTGGTGGTTGTCAACTTATGCCAGGCACCCACTGGACTCTGTAGACACCAGGATGAAGAGACAAACTTACTCCTAGGTACTTTCAAGCAGAAGGAATAAAAACAAAACCTAGGTTTCCTTCCCTGGTCGTAAGCCTAAAGAGTGGAGACTTTATAACAAGAGATGAATCTAGGTGGCTTCTCTAGAAACCCAGGAGGTGAGAATAAACAATGAGACAAGAATCTCTGCCTGGCTGTAACTTTTGAGGGAAGATCCTGGAGGGGGCTTAGCAGACCCCTGGTTTTTGATCTTTGGAAACAGTTCCAAAACTCATTCCAGAAGTAAAGATCTCAACCCGGGGAAGAGACCTCCCCTGGGATGCAGGAGTGGAAGGAGCTGGGTATAGAGAACAGAGGCTTGCCAGTGAAGTCCTGAGCAGCCATAGAAGAGTAGTGGCTGGGAGGCCTGGGTGGTTCTGAGAGTGGTAACCCCAGGGCACCGCACCTCCTGGAAACCTGGATGAAATGCAAGTTTTCAGGCCCTTGGGAGGAGCTCAGCAATGGTGGAACAGAGCCTCAGGGTTCTGAATGGCAGCCAAGTTTAAGAGCAACTGATCCAGTTCATTAGAGCACCAATTGGCACAGAAAGAAGCTACAACAGACAAAAAAAAAAAGAATAAATAACTCTTGCAAAAAGTGTATTCAGAAATTCAAATTGGGACATCTAATCCCTAAAATGAAAACCATAACAGACAGAGAACAGCAGAGGAAGAAAAGCCAACAAGATCAGACCACTTATCTTTATGAAAGAGGATTTTCTCTTTGCCTCTGTTTGGCTGGGTAAAGAGAATGAAGGAAAGCAGTGGTTGGATGCCTTAAGGTTAAAAATCACCCACAAGACTAAAAATAGACTATGGTCAAATCATAAAGGAGGCAAAAATCAATAAAGGGCAGACACAATGAAACAAACCATCAGCCCCAGAGAAGATGGAGGTGAAATGACAGAGGGAATCTCATAGCCAGACCCAAAGGCATCGCTTGTACCCTGCTGTGTATAATCACAAAGTATAGGCTGAGCCGGCCTGGTGAGGAAACCTAGCATTTTAAGTGCTCCCAAGTTAGAAAGTGTTTATGTGTTGACACCATTCCCCAACTGGAAAGTTTCACACCTGACCTCATGTGATACGTCAGTCAAAACCCAACAGCACTAAAAACCCGGGATAAAATTCCCTTTGGGCGG